CACATGCAAAGGCCATTTTTGCCACCTGGAGCCAGGTTCATTTTGCCAGTTCGCAGAGCATCAGAGGCATATTTTTAATGGCTCTTTGCATTGTCGAAGGCAAAGAGTGCTTGACACCCAGGAAAGGCTTTCTTGAATACAGGAATCACTTTTTGAACAAGTTGTTCAAGTAGCAGTTCTTCAGTCTACTATGTATCACCACCACACTTCAGTATTTCACAGACATCTCCATTTCCACAGTGCCCAATAGGTGTTAGAAATTCAGAAACATGCAGTCCTTGTCCACAAACCTTTTTGCGTAAGAGACTCTTATCTTCATGAATCTAAATATACCTCCTCACCTCATTGGAATTAAATATTGTTTCATGATGGGTGACAAAAACTAGTGGCTTGACTTCTCTTGAAAACTCTTTTGACTGGCTGCAAGTTTTCATCCCACTAAAGCATTCTGGAATTAAAAGACTCTATTTGTAGAAGAAACACCTTCTGATGATACTCTTGGACATCAGGACATTCATGGCCATCTTTGTATACTGCTTTCCGGACTTCTTTTTATTTCTATGCAAGTTGAAGGAGCCAGGTCCATGCTGTACGACTCAATAATACTTACTTGATTTTCCCTTAAATACCATTTATCATATAGAGCTGAGTGGACTGGTTCTCGGCCTCTATAGTATTTGAGTAGGTTTTCTTCCAATTGTTTGTTATAGCTGTAACAAGGCCGATAGAATCCATTGCTATAAGTAGGACAAATTAGTTTAAATTATCTATCCGATTTTCAAATGTATAATAAAATATAATCAACTCCTACCTTCTCCTACATGGGCCATATACTTTTTTATCATCAATATTGTACTCTCGTCAGTCAACCAACTTGTGATTTTTATATGCTTTCCCTGTCTTGGAGCTGGTACTTTCCTATACTTAATATAACTAACCTCTTGTTAGAGAATTCTTTTAGCAACAGCTTTTGACCATCCAAGTGAATTGGCTACCTGTAAGGCCAGGGTCTTACAAGATTGATGGGGTGTAATTGTTATAGTCGAAGCCCTCAACATCTCTTTCTCTGTCCAAGACCTCTCAGATCTCAGTTGCAACTTAAGAAATGTATATAACTGAAGATTCCAATCCAGCTAGGAACCATAATAATGCTTAGAAGATGTTGGTGTATGCCACTTGACTTGTTTTGATAGTTGCTTCAATCCAAACTTCAAGATTTCTATCTTAAAATATTTTAAATCACCTGACAATCTTAGCTAATTTTTATACACTTGCTTTCTCTGCACCTCAACAACCTCAGAAGTAGCAAGTGCCATACTCAGATCCTATAACTGAATTAGCTTTCTACATATTTGTATTGATGATAAATATTTACATATCTGATCAACCTCTACGACCTCACAATCCTCTCCAGGAATTGAAATACTTTACATATATGTGTCATGGCCACCAAATTTTTCTTCACTCTAGTCACACGTTTCATACCTGGAGGAGCTCCCAACAGTTCTCAGGATTGGTGTTTTTGAAGGAATTGGTATGGTAAGACGGACCTAGTTGACTCGACGCGGCAAGCTGGATTAGTGTGTGGCGGTTCCACATAGCAAAAGATAAGAGCTGCGTCTGGTCAGATATAGCGAAGAATCTCCATAGTGTTTTAGAACGTACAGGAAGGACATACGTTAAAGATTGCGATTTCCTATGCTATTATTATGTTTTGCGCTTTGGAGGAGCGCCGTTCGATTGAGGGATTTCTTTGATTATATCTATGGGGTGTGCCTCTAGATATTTTACTTTCTTTAGGCAATCTGGTAATCTCCTGCCTTTGTATACTAGTATACTTAGAAATTACGTCCACTTCTTGCTCTCATGTTTATCGTGAAGTAACCTTCAGATTGTTACGACTCCACCTTTTGGAACCTGAGGAGAACCACTTTGATATCTTGTTACTATTTATCTTTTTTTTGCTCTTACTTTGCTAGTCTTAGCTTGACCAATAGTAGCGAGCCTGCAGTATGGCTCACTATCTTTAATTATTATACCTTTGGCCTTCCTTGTGTCTGCCCATCCTCGGTTAACTATCTTGATGATAGTTCTCCCACCTGAAAGGTTTTGCACCCATGGCCTTCTCTCGTGTCCGCCCATACTCGGGTAACAATCTTGACGATAGTTCTCCCGCCTGAATCCTTTTGCGCCCATGGCCTTCCCTTGTGTCCACCCATCCTTGGTTAACTATCTTGATGATAGTTCTCCCGCCTGAACCTTTGCACCCGTGGCCTTCTATCATGTCGGTCTGTACTTGCTTAGCTATTGTTAAGAATCCTCCCGGGTGCTGGGGTGTGGCAGGTAACGATTCTTAATGCGTCTTGAGGTAATAGTTCTTAGACCTATGCCTGCGCGATATGGATACTAGCTAAGTCCTTTCGACTTTTATCTTATCGCGCCTATTCCTCTGATCTTCTTAAGTCCTCGCTTAGGACTTCGTTGTTCGACGTAGGACAAGAGATAGTTCTCTCCTGTGAGAGGAAAGACAATTCTCAGGTTTCTTAAGATAAATCTTAAAGAGCGTAAAAGTAGGTTTTATTGATAACTTAAAGGTTGGAAATAAACAAGAAGAACGTGTGAAGAACTAATACTCAGGGTCCTAGCAATCCCTTATATAGTAGTTCTTCACCTGTCGTGACTCATACCTGGCGTCACGTGAACGCTGTGACTCATAACTATGAGTCATGCGAAATCCATCAGCCAACTCCTATGAGTCGCTGCCCAACATACCTAAAACCAATCAAAACATAATAACCAAATCAAGTGCGCTACTCATGTCACCTGAGTGAAACCCATGACTCATAAATTGAGTCATGTGCGAAAATCATAACATCATGTGACTCACAACTGTGAGTCACAAACAGATAAACATAATAACCTATGGTGCACTAGTCTGCGTCATATGAAATTCCAACATACTTATAGCTCGGAATTCCGAGCTATGTAAAATCTGCCTTGCTTAGTCACAGGTTGTAACAGCTATCTTGATAGTAGTTTCCCTTCTGAACCCGGTAGGCCCCTAGAATCTCAGGACCTCTGACCCTCATGAATTCCTTAACAAATTGCATTCGGCAACGAACCTTAGAACCTTTTGGGTTTACCAACAACTCTCCTTGAATCTTAGATTTAGACCTCCGGTGGGATACCAGACGATATTTTGGCTAGCTTGATGTCTGCAACCCTCCTTGAACCTCACTTCTCGGCTGCATACCAATCAGACAGATTAGTCTTGAACAAAGAGACCCCTTGACTTAGACCTCCAGTGGGATACTGGACAATTACCTTGGCTCATGATGGATGCTCCTTAGTTGGACCTTAGTTGGTTATGCTCCTCACGGGTAGATGCCGGCTTGATGTTGGCAA